TATATATATATATATATATATATATATATATATATATATATATATATATATATATATATATATATACACACACACACACACACACACACACATACACACACACACACACACACACACATATATATATGTTCTGGTGAGAATGAGATCTTACGAAAGAAATAAGAATGAACAATAATCTTCGGATATATGTCTTCATTCGTCAAATGCCAAAGGGCTTAAATGTATTTTTGCCCATCCACTCTCTCCAATCGGATCATCATATCCGAATTATTTGCGGTCAAATCAACCACGCTCTCTCTCTCTCTCCTTATACGAATGGCAATCTATTCATTCCGTATGTTCTCTTCCAATCTTTCTTCTACGGGAATTCATTCGGATTTTTTTTGAACTCATATTCATCGGTCAATCATCATCTATGGATTAAGGTTTGTTTTATGAGATTCTTCATCATCACGATATTAATCGTCCTCTTCATATTCATTGGAGTTTTATTCCTTCCAAGTTATATCAATATTCTTTTAATCGTGAATTATATATTATCTTGATGTTTTTATATTCATTCACGATTAAGATGATACATGTGTGACATGTTGCTTTAATTTATTGTTGAAGTTTTGTCAGTTTCTTTGCTTCAGTTCTTAGAATGCATAATTCGGGCTAAAACATGCATCACTGAGATTTCAAAATGCACCGTGAGATGTTGCATTATTATTAATGTTTAATCAATCTATAGCAGTTTCTCTTATTGCAAGGTATATGGAAAATGGATCATTTTCCCATTGTGTTATCAGATGGTCTCTAGAGTTTAAATAACATCTCCTTTTGAGTCCCATTTGTGTTGGTCGAGTTTGGTGTAATGTCAAATTTTAACATTTTATTCTATTAGACATAGCATTTTGTATCACGGGTAGGTATTGCACACCTCTCCTCTATCTAATGCATTTACGTGATATGTCTATAAATTATTATTTTCTTTCATCTTCAATTATTCCTTATATTTATTCTATAATTTTTAATCCCTGTGGCATATTGTTTTAGTGGATTATATAAGATATTCAATGTTTTATAAAGATTTTGCATTACATATATAAATATATGATTTAAAAATCATTGTCAATTAGCTCAAATGGTAAAACGGTATGCATTTGCATACAGATGTAGGTTCGAATCCCTCATTGCCACCTTTTGCGATTGAAACAAAAGAAAAATATTTTATTAGTCACAGACTAAAATCAAACAAATATGTCTCTATGTGGTTAAATGAACAGTCATTTTTTTTATAAATTTACTTTTCTTAGATGTTATCTCTACATTTTGAAGATTTACTTTTCATTAAGGTGCATTAATCCTGAACGGTATGTAAAATGTTCAAGATTATGTGCAATACGTATTAAAAATGATGCCAATATTTTAACAATTTTTTCTTTACATTTTTTGCCTAGGATATCACACAGATCTATCATTAAAGTGCATGTGAAATTTCTTTTATAGTCTTTTTATCTCTTGTTATGGTATACGAAGTATTTCTTAGTGTACTTATTCAAAATCTAGACTTTGGAATGATAATATTCACATAGTGCACTTCAATAATTTATTATTCGCACAGTTCAGCATACACATGTCAATTGTATGATCCATTTACAACAACTCTAGATGCATCAATGACTTGTCTAGAAGCATCAACGTCAACAGTGAAAGCAACATTAGTTTCCAGTTGGCAATGGCGAAAAAAGTGGATTCTCTTTTGACCACTTTTGATTAGAAAATTTAAAATTACCTGCATGCCCTTCATAATCAATTCGTCCCTGATTTTATGGGATGCAATCAATAATTTCCTTTTTAAATTTTAGGGAGTAATGGCTTGGTATATTATTAATAGCCACACGATCCATCCAATCCAATGTTTATTATTCATTCTTATTTCTTTTACCAAGAGTCATTCTCACAAGAACCGGCCTATATATATATATATATATATATATATATATATATATATATATATATATATATATATATATATATATATATATATATATATATATATATATATATATATATATATATATATATATAT